TTATTATTTTAAATGTTATCAAATAATAGAATATTAATGTTATCATTGTGAAAAATATTACAAACATAAAATTTATAGTAATGTAAATTCTTTTTAGATTGATTAGAAAAGGAACCAAATGTATTTACTTCTAATGAATAGAATAAAACTTTAGTAGAAGAAGAAAATAAAGCGGTGAAAGAGGTAGAAACAAATAAAAATCAGGAAATAAATGCAAAATTTATAAATAAACTTAGTCAGATTAATACTTAGTGATATTGTCTTAAAATATAATAAATAAAATTATATTATATTAATAAATAACATTATTTACTTAAAGAATTCAATTTTGTAATATTATAAAATTAAATACTTACCTCTGTTTAGAATAATTTTGAAATTTTAATTTGAAATTACTAAGGATAACTTTAATTTTAGTCTATTATTTTAATTAAAAAAAATATTTTATATAAAATTCTTTGAAATATTAGATACCATTAGATATTATTGACTTTAGAGAAAGAAATAGCATAGAGAACAATTTTGTAAAGTTTTGTTATTTATTATTTAGTAGCATTTGTAGCTTATTATATGGTTGATCATAATTTAATTGAATTCTATTATAAAACACATATAAATAATTGTATAACAATGATCATCAAATTCAGACTTTCTTTATGCTACCATACCTTCATATAATATAAATAGTACTGTAAACATATTACTAAGATTGCTTGTTTAAACTCATTTTTGATTTAGCTAAACATCTAAACATTTAGTTTTGCTAAATTTTTACTAAGTGTTTAATATAATTTCGCCATTTTTATAAGTTTTGATATAATTTTATCTTTTTCTGAATTTCGCAGATTTTTTAATAAGGTTTTAATATAATTTAACCAAGTTTTACCTTTACTATTTAGATGTCTGTTTAAACTCTGAATTTTATTCAGCAATCTTACATATTATACTAAAAAAATAAAATGCATTATTACATGATAGATGTGATAAAAATGTTATAGGAGATGGTTAATCTACCTGAATCCTGAGGGTTTAAAAAAATAAACCTGAATCCCTAGTCTAGAATAAGGATGCTCTTTTAAAAATGCCAGTTATTGCTTTGAACTTTATTATATATTCCTATTATTTCATGACTTTCAATATCGTTGTTTAGTTTTCCAAAATCACATTAATCTCTATTGGATTGTTGGATTTATCTCCTCAATTTATTGTCTAGCTCTGCACCTTTCTTGGATTTGTAATTTTTTTTTGATATCTGGAAGCTCTATCCCTTAAATAGTAATGAAATACATTAGAAAATTTATTATAAATCTGTTATTTTTAAATAAAATTTCATTTTTAATAACAAAATTTTTAACTTTAAATTTATGATTTTTTTATAAATAAATAATATTTAAATATATAAATAAATGTTTTAAATATAAATTTATATAATTTGTAAAGTTTTTTTAATAATATAAAAATAATTAAAAATTAAAAATTTTAGCTTTTATAAAAAAATATTTTTATTAAAAAAATTTCAAAACTTTAATCTTAGATTAATGCAAAAAATTATTAATTAATGTAAATTTTTTTTGATTTTACTTAAAAAATATCATAAATTTTATTATAAAAATATTATTGGTTTAATAATTAATTTTTAATATATTTAAAAGTGTAAGTAAAATTCCTTCTAAATTTGAAAGGAAAACTAATGAAGGGTTACAGTTATGTTTTTTTGCTTTATCTAAACGCTTCTATCATTTCTAGAGATGCAGACTCTTTTTAAAATTTATGTCAATTCATTACATTATATAAATTTACATCAGAATACTCAACAAACTAATATAATTATTTACAGAATAGTATATAAAACCTATATCCTTTGTAAAATCAAAAAAAATATATAAACAATAACATATTTTGAAAATTACACTTTAATTTTTTGTCAATATGGTCTAAAAAATTTCACATCAAAATTTGTCTTCCATCGTTAAATTTTTTTGCTAATCTAAAGACAAGATTATTGAGGGTATTAGGATATTAGGCATAATCTTTAAGTGGCATTTCTACTGCAAATTTATCATTCATTTATATATCATATCCTATGGTTGACATTGGACTCAAGTTTGATTTTACGGTTCTTTTTGCTTGCTTATATTTTGGCCTTCCCATCATTAGCACTATTGAAAAATGAAAATTAAATTTATTATGAGTAATCAGAAGCAAATTTTCTTCAATGCCAATTGTACTAGAACGTCCTAATGTATTTTTCATAAAGAATAACATCAGTAATCCACATAAATCATGACATTTTTATAAAGAAAACAGTCACCAATTACTGACATTATTTTGTTATTCTTTAATCCAAAGTAACTTCATCAATCAAAATAACAAAAATAATGACAGCAACAAATAACAATATTTACTTCGCTGTTCAGAATATAACTAGATTCCTGCTCTGGAACCAATAGACCCAATAGCTCAATCTTTTTAATAGTAGACTTAAACAGCTTATCTGGTAATAGAGTACGTCAACAAAAGGTAAAAGAAATGTATAGTTTTAAGTTTTTTCTAAAGAAATAGAAAAGGACAAGAAAATTTTAGAAGAGATCCAAGATCATTCATATTTTATCACAAAAAATATTAAAAAACAAATTGAACAAACTAACTTGAAAAAGTAAAATAAAAAACGGCTCACACTATGTATTTTTAAACATAAACTTATACAAGTAAAAGAAAAGATATTTATTGAAATTTTGGGGTATTGGAAAATTTAAATATTATAATTTATGTGTCACGTTGCGTATTAATTTTGATATTGATATCAATAAATATGAGTATAAAACTATTAGGTTTCATATTTTATGTTAACAAATTTGGATAAATAGATCATTTGGAGAAGATATTATTGGCTTGAAATAAAAATAAAATCACATGATAAAAAAATGATTAATGGTTTATAGAAATGAGCATTCCGGTATAAATCAATACAAGTAATAATATTTTGCGAATAATGTTAAAAATGGAAAATCACTAATACAACAAATATCTCATCAAAAATACAAAAATGTGAGAAGAGGCAATTAGTAAAAATAGAATTCTAAAGAACTCAATGATCATATGAAAGGATGGAAATATATCATATCTAGTTTATCCAAATTTTTGCTTGGGCATGAAAAGCACAATTGCATTAATTTTTATAATGTTTTTTATTTTTGCCATTATTTTATTTGAATGTTCTGATATATCTTTTCATTACGTAATTTTGAATTACTAATAAAAAAACATATTTATATTTTGTGGATCATGGTGTTAAGCAATTAGAATCTAGATTTTTTCGGATTCTCAGATAAACTATAGTTTTTATTATCCCAGCTAAGGTTGCTGGACGAAATCAAGAGTTTAGACAGTCATCTAAATGGTAAAAGTAAAATTTGGTTAAATTATATTAAAACCTTATTAAAAAATCTGCGAAATTTGGAAAAAGGTAAAACTATATCAAAGCTTATAAAAATGGCGAAACTATATTAAACATTTAGTAAAAATTTAGCGAAACTAAAGGTTTTACCATTTTGCCAAATCCAAAATGAGTTTAGACAAGCAATCTTAATCCCAGCACATATATATACACTAATTTATTATTCTGTTTCTGGATATTGATAGAATCTATTAATAAAGCCAACTAATAAAAGAATATAAAAAATTACTGAATTTATCCCAGCGATATTTTCTGGCATAAAAATCAGTTCATCAATTACTTTAGGAATAAGTTATATTATATTTACAATATGCTATTTAGTTAGACGTAGCAAGAAATTGTCTATATGCTGATTTTAATAAAATTTGCTAAGCTTTAAGATAAATTTATACTTCGTTATACTGTACTAAATATGATGCATAAAACAATTTTATATAGATAACACAATGCATTTAATCTGTTATTGAATAATAAAAAAAATAGTAGACTGTCTTTTTTCATTGTTAAAATTCATTAATTTAACCAATAAGTTGATCTTTTTTATATTTTTTACGATTTATATAAATTCTATATAAAAAATAATCTTCAGATATTATATAAATTTCGCAATTTTTTTTCGAAATCCTTATATATAATACTGATCAGGTACTAAGAAACTTTATAAGAATTTATAAAAACTCAGATTTTGTAACTAATTTGAAATGTTATTAGAATATTATATAAAAGGTAATAAAATTACAATATCATTTCTGATAATGCATTGTTATTGATTAAAAATTCATTTGAAAAATATAATATAATTTAATTAACAATGATAACGATTACAATTATTATAATATCATCATTAAGGTTAGAGAGAAAGAATTTTATACGCGTACCAATATATTACGTTGTAAGATCTAATTATTTTTGTCATGTGATATCAAAAAAATGAATGAAAACAAAATTTATTTTATCAAAGTCAAATATGAAACTTAAAGTTTTTGATGCTGTTCTAAACTGAGTATATTCTATTTGTTCCTTTTGTTTAAAAAAAAATTATTCAATGGATTGAACTGTAAAAATTGTTTACGAATAAATATTAATAATAGTAGTTTCAATTTAATAAGTTTAGTCCACAAATTATCCTCAAAATTTTGGAAGCTTCAGATAAATTTATACTTGAAAGCTTGATAGACACGATTTAAAATCAACTTCTGCAAATATTACTTTTATTAGAATCCAAAAAAATATTCGTAATAATAATAATAATAATAATAGTAATTATCAAAAGTAAAAAATCTTTTTTATTCATTATATAAAATTACCATAAAAAAAAAGTGACTAAACCAAATTTCTCATTTGTCTAATTTAATTATAAAAATAAAATCTTAAGGACCATTCATATTGGAATTAGTTAGTCTTAGTATTAACCTTTTCACGTTACTAATCATTTATAACTTCATATGTGGTAAAATCTTTGCTCACAACCTAACCTCAGTACCAGCTTGATAATTATAATGAATTAAAGGTTCAGTATATAGAATAACCAAGAATGCCTTAATTACTGTACTTCAATATCATACATGTAATCTTTAGTCTGGTTGACCTCTTGATCATAATCAGTTGCTCTAATCTTCAATTCTATTAAAAACTTGTGGCCATTTCGAATAAAAATATTCAATCGTCAATTTCTATTTTGTCCTTATTTTTTGCCTCTGAGAGGACAAAAAATTCATTAATAATTGGTATACCATTATTTATACATTGTTAACAAACTGTCTGCAAAATATGTTGTAATGTAAAAAAAAATTCAAATTGAAAAAGTATATTCAGCTATCCTTTCTTTGTTTGTACTTCTACTGCTGTAAATACTTTGTTTCAAAACATGGAAACAGCATAAACTATAAGTTTGAATATAGGAGGCGGTCAGTAGAAAAGAGGAAAATCTAAATTTTGGTCAAAATTTATATTATTAAACTACTTGGCTAATCTAAATCATGTGTATAAATTTGGCTTAATAATAAAATTAACAAAAATTTTGGATTTCCCCTTTTTTACTAACTGCTTCCCATATGTCTATTTTTTGTTTTCTGTGATAAGTTTCACAACTCAATGTAATGCATATGACCGGATCATACTGTTTATTAATACCAATTATTGAATTAAAGTTGAGGCAAATTCAAGTTTATATTCATTTGTTCAGATAAGAATACTAATAGTAAGAAGGTGATATAATCCATTCTTATGCTTTATTGAAGGCTCATTAAGCTCATCATAAAACAGGTATCTCTTCCATAGTAAATGTCTTGCAACTTCTGTATTAAGATTATTTTCTTTCAAACCTTCAACCATTTTAAGGAATACACTTGATACCATCACTCTTTCAAGTAAATTTTCAATGGCAAATTTCTTTTAATCTGCCAATCAAATCTATTTTTTGCAAAGATATCTCTTCAATCAACCTGTCACCCACAAAAACTGGTCAAATCTGGATGACCATTTGTTCAATTATAGAAATCTTGTCTGATATTTTCATATTCCATGTCTATTTATCTATATTCTACAACCTCTTTAAGAAGGTTTATGATATTATTTGACCTATTCACAATGAGTTGGTGATATTAAACGGTGATGAATAATAATCTAAGTTACTTGATGATTGTAACATTTTAAGTGAAATGTTGAATCAAGGATTGTAATGTCAAATGTGTCAATGTCAATGAATGAGTATAATATTGACGTATTTCTGTTATTCTCAACATGTTTGATTAAGTATAAATTCTTCAATCCTCATAGTTCTGAGAAGAATGATTCCTTCGCTTTTGGGTTTTGATAAAACCTGTTAAACTCATCATTTGTTAATATGGATCTTTGTAATAGAAAGGGGGAAAACTGCCGGAAAAATCAAAAGTGAGTTAATGCTAAATTTGAACATATTTCAGCCTAAAAATCATATTTAGTATATAAAAGTAAAATTAATTTTTCCCAGCAGTTTCCCCCCTTTCTATTACAAAGGCTCTATATTACTAATTTTTCAAAATACTCTGATGTGAACAAATGCTGAAATACTTCTTTCTTTTCTTCTGTTGAATATTTCAAAAAAGCATTTATGTAAATCAAAATTGGACTTTTCCGTGATATCTCCTTAAACTCACAATCCCAAAATTTATCTACCGTAATCACTATAAAGTCTTTTTACAATGTTGACGAATGACTGATGATGTAGAACATGCATTCCAGCTGTAGGTGGCTACTTCATAGAAGTACTCAAGATGAGTGAACTTTCCAGATTGTTGATGATCATGTAAAGCAAATAAGTATCATTCTCAGCATAATATAAGAGATTAGGTCTTCGCAGCTTTAAAAATGCTTTTTTACTAAGTAAACATAGTAGAAAACGCCTCCACAGCTTCAGAAATGCTTTTTTTATTATGTTTTCTTATTAAAAACATTTCTGAAGTTGCAGAGGCCGCAGAGGCGTTTTTTACTATGTTTACTTAATAAAAAAGCATTTCCGAAGCCACAGAGGCGTTTTTTACTATGTTTTACTTAATAAAAAAGCATTTTCGAAGCTACAAAGGTGTTTTTTACTATGTTTTGCTTAGTAAAAAAAGCATTTTTGAAGCTGCGGAGGCATTTTTTACTATTTTTTACTTAGTAAAAAAAGTATTTCTGAAGCCACAGTGGCATTTTCTACTATGTTTTACTTAATAAAAAAAGTATTTTCGAAGCTGCAGAGGTGTTTTTTACTATGTTTTCTTAATAAAAATGCACCTGTTACTAAACTTACTTTGTAAAAGTTATCTTTAAAATTTTTTAGTGCAATTACCAATGATTTTTTTAATTAAAACTTTAGAATAACTTTATTTAAATATATTATTATAAAAATTAAACAATTTTTATATTTGATTCGATTTGATTCGATCAAATATTTGATTTGATTTGATTTGATTTGACAAATATTTGATTCAATTTGATTCGATTCGATCAAATTCAAATTGATTCAAATTGATTCGATCAAATATTTGAGTTCAATTTGATTTGATTTGATTTGATTTGAAAAAATCAAATCAAATTCAAATTGCTTAAATATTTGATTCAATTTGTTTTTGAGAAACCCTAATCACAAGTATAAGATATTATTATTTACAATAGGGATGAAAAAATTTAATTAAACAAATTATCTACAATATAAAAAAGTGAATGGCAGATATACCTTCTTACATAATGAGTACACAAATTCAATTAACTAATACTAAGCTAACATCTCAAGATATCAAAAAGGTATTAATAAATGTCATCAAAGCAGGGCTCTACTATAGAAAACCAAAAGACAGAAAATTCATGTTAAGTTATAAAGATCAGGTTAAAAAATTATGCTAGGTAGAAGATCCTGAAGAATATGTATTAAAATTGGCACAAAATATTTTTCCTAATAAAGACAAGTATAATCAAATAAAAAATAACTATAAGGAATATTACAGGTGAGATTCCAGAATTCTTAATGCAATTATAGATCTATACAAATTATATTATGAATTAGCTAAGGATAATTTTGTTAAGAAAGAATAAATGGATGAAGAAGCAGAAGATCATTTTAATACATAAGCACCCATTGGGAAAGCAATTTTGTATCATAAGGAATAATCATCAATTCTTTTCGAACAAAAGATCTTTCAGGATGTTTGAGAATATAATTATCATTACCAATTAATCCAAAGTTGACTTCTTCCAGCCAGTATAAGACCGGCTGATTATCATTATAAGAAAAATATATTGTGCCACTGTGAGTATGGTGATCATGTCTTTTCTATTGAGAATAATAAATTTTATTATACCTAGTTTTCATATAAATAAAGATGATCCTGTTATTTGAAAAAAATATACATTCTGCTCCTATGTTTATAGTTTGATTAATCTAGTTTGATCTTAGATATGTTATTTACTACTGGAATACTATTATTTACAGATGAAACATCATTATTAAATGATAAGACACTGTTATTCACTATCAAAGCACTATTATTCACTGGCGAAACACCATTATTTACTATCAGAGCACTGTTATTGCAATTATTTTTTGCCTTCATATGTTGAATTAGCTGACATGAATATTGGAACTCCTTCTCACAATAATGACATATCTGATCATTCAGTTTTTTATAGGTTCTGATTCCTTTCTAACAGTAAAGACATTACGCTGAGTTTTGTGAACTGATAGGAGAATGGTAATAGTCTTTCCATTAAATATGGCTTTAAATTCTTCTTTTATTAAAGGCTTCCATCCAGCTCGATATTGCTATTGAGTACCAAGAATTACTAAAGATTTAGCAGGTTTTGTAAAGTTATAACTGCAATCTCTACAAATACAATTTTTTTTATCACATCTAGACATGATATTAATAAGTCTCACCTGTTAAATATTGTGTAAACTTTTGTTTAAATAAAAATAATTACCCTTTGCGTATATCTGCTGTTCACTTTTCTATATTGTAGATAATTTTGTTTAATTAAATTTTTTCATCTCTATTGTAAATGATGGCATCTTATACTTGCGACTAACTTCATAACTCTGGCAAGACTTGTAGTAAAGCTTGCACTCAATTTGAAGGATGTCAGAAATATTGAAAGACTAGAAAGTGCTATCATTGTACTGATTGTGACAAATCTACTGCTACAGTTTGTGAACGGTGTGCTGAACATATTAGAGAATATTATGTGATGCAATATTATAATAAATTGCAGGATAAGGCTCAGAGATTATTAGACTTGATAAAAGATGCGACTTAGAGGTGAAATTTAGCATATACACTATCCTATTAAAAGTATCCGGTTAACTAATAAAAATTATATTTTATCTTATGAGCTACTAAATTTTTGCTGTATTTCATCAAGAGAAAGTTAATTACTTTTTTTAATAATCTTTGAAAGTTTATGATGATCATTGTTATTCATGAAGCATGGTCTTTCTGTCCTTTTCGCTGTTAATCCAGTATTAAAATTTTTGTATTGAAAAATTGTATTAGTAATAGTGCTTTTTGGAATTTTAAAAATATGACCAATAGCTTTATGAGTTCTTTCTCCTTTCCAAAGACCAATAACTTATTTGCATTCAAACTCACTCAATTCATGAGTTTTTCCCATTTTAAATAGTGCAGTAAACCAAAAAAATAAAGATCAACAATAATAAAATTGAATGTTTTGTTTATTTTTATTGCCAAATCTGATGTATTCATTATAACACAATATAAATATATTTATTTTAATCGTCAGAATCATGGCATTCATTTAAAATAAAAATATATGCATATTATTATATTAGATTATGAATAAATCAAAAAGAGCTTAACTGGATACTTTTAATAAAGTAGTGTATATATACCTTAGAGGTGTAATTTTTTTGTCCTAAATTTTTGTAAAGAAAATGAGTTTAAAAGGTTTTCTGTATATTGAGAAATTATTAGTATGTTAGAACATGCTCGATAAACTTTTGGTTTACAAATTTATTATCCTTTAGAGATGTGACTTAGAGGTGAGACTTGATAAAAGATGTGACTTAGAGATGTAATTTAGAGGTGAGACTTAGAATATTGTATGCATTTTAGACTTGTATGATCAGATCCAGCTCAAATCACATCACTTTATTCCTTGATTTTTGATGATTCCTCCAGAGGCAAGCAGAATAGCATAAAAGTTATTATTCATATTGGGTTTGCAATGTTAGGCTCAGTTCAAATCGCGTCACTTTGTTTCTTGATTTTTGATGACCTCTCTTAAAGCAAACAGATTAGTAAAAATTTTTTAATATATTATTTGGGATTAAAATTAGGTTAGAATTAAAGATGAGGAACGAAACTCAAAAAAGGCAATTAATAAACAGCCGAAACTATATTAAAACATAGTGAGGGGTACGACGAAATCCTGAAACCTGAAATTAGCCGAAACTATATTAAAAATATAGTAAGAGATATGACGAAATTATTTTGAGGGAGTTTCAGCTGGCATCTTTAGTTAGAATAGTTATATCAAATATTGTAGTTTTTGGTATCAGATAAGTTCAATATTAACATCTAGATTTGAGTCAAAATTATGCTATTATCGCTGCTTCAGTTTTACTAAGAAAACTTAGTAATAACTGCTATTGCAACTTTGAAACTATTTTATTAATAAAAATATTTTGAGCTATAAATGCATTTTTTTACTAGGTTTCTTAGTAAAAAATATTTTCAAAATTATAGAGTCATTTTCTATTAAGATTTCTTAGTAAAGTAATGTCTCTGAAGCTGTAAAGGCATTTTTATTATATTTTCTTAGTAAAAAGGAATTTCTAAAGCTGTGAAAATGCTTTTTGCTTTTTCTTAATAAAAAAAGTATTTCTAAAGCTGTAAAGGCATTTTTCTATAGGTTTCTTAGTAAATATCACATCTGAAGCTTTGGAAATAGCTTTACTATTGATTCAAATCAAATTAAAGATTAATTTGGATTTGATTAAATATATCATATTTTGATTTGAATTTTATCGAATTAAATCAAATATTTGAATATCAAATCAAATTGTGAAACTTAATTATTATAAAGTTTTATATTACATAATTATTATTATTATTTTTTTTTAGAAAAAATATATATTATTAACAATCTTATTACGCTAATCATCAGTAATCTATTGAATGATGATATAATAAGCCTATCAAATACTGCGTTAAATGACCAATAACAAGATTTCTAATTTCTCTGATTCTGCAGATCTGCCTGATAAACCTAATGTTTATAATTTATTATTTTATTATTTTTATGATTTTTATTATATTTGATATAATTATTATCTAATTATATTTATTATATTTTATATATTAATATTATAGTTATAAATTTAGTTAGTTTATAGTATAGCGACTAGTTAGTTATAGCAAATTAATTTGTATAAATAGAATAATTTTTTGCTTAAATTGCAAATTAACTCAATCGCTAGTTTATAACTCTTTTGTAAATTTTATAGACCTTTATGTTTGTAAAATTAAATAAAGTAATTTTAAAGCATTCTGAATACCTGTAGGATGTAAGATTCCCTAAGGTTATAAAGTCTGATAATAAGAAACTTACTTGCTGCAGTAAAGTAACTTAGAAGAATACATGTAAAGAGAATTATTCTCGGTGACAATATGTTAAATTTAATAAAAATAAATTTACACTTTAAAAAAAAATCATCTACCACTTTTAACCTTATATAATGTATTAAACAGAAATCTTTAAGATTCTATTGAAATTCCTTATGTTGTAAATAACTATTTTATAATTTTAAAAAAATAAAAACTAATGTTATAAAAGAAGCAATATTTTTACTATTAGAGATAACTGAAGATAATAATAGGATTAATAGTATTTTAGCTATAAGTAAAGTTTGAAAATAAATAAATCATTTTAAAAACAAAGAAAATAAATTTTATATGTAAAGGTAATATTACTAAAATTAAGATTTTAAAAGATAGAAATAATAATCTATTTTTTAAAAAACTGATAGTGCACCAATTAGTACATATTAGATCTAGAACCTAAATATAAAAAACAATTAACGTTTTTAATTAAAATAAGTTTGAACTTCAAATTTTGGCTTTGTATAAATGTTAAAGAGAAGACGAGAATTCAAATTTCCCTCAAAAGCTTTTTTTAATTTTTGACAAAAGAATTTTTATTTATTAAAAAAAAAAGATTAATATAAGTTATATTTTGAAATGGAAGCTCAACTACATGTAAAAGATCGACCTTTAATACATCCATCCGAGACCCAACCTGCGAGGAAACGCAGGAAGAAAGGATATTATACCCGAACTCTAAATGCGCGGATGATTTATATATAGTAGAGATAGAAGTTCTATACCAGAAATTAGAGGTAATTGTTAAACTACATGTATGAGATGAAGTGCCCAAGGAAGTTAAGGAATTGTTTCAAGAATGTCTTTGAAAAACGATATGAAGATATTTGTAAAATGCAAGTTGTAACACTATTAAAAACAACAAATTAAAAAGGGCATCCTTGTAATGTACCCGGTCCTATATAAATAAATAAGTATTACGAATTAAAAATTCAAGCCCGATTGGGCGAAACTTTATAAATTGATAGGTTACGTAAAAAAAAAAAAAAAAACTTTTTCTGAGTTTATCAATTGGCAATTTCTTAATTGTTATTGTTCTTGATGTTAAATAGTTATGATTATGCTAAAATCAAAATCAACATTGTTTTTGGTAAAAGTAATGTCTATCAAAGAAAGGGGTTTTATATTTGTTTATTTATATTTATAAAAATAATGGTTTCGGATTCAATTATTTCACGGATTAATTTTAAAACAATGACAAGTAAATTTAGAAATATTATGTTTAAGTCAAAGATTATTTTAGTTGAACATTTCCTATTTTAGTTGACCACAATTCTAGTAAGCAATCTGATAAAATAACAACAGATTCTTCGATTATAGAAGCAATCTTAATTAATCTTAATGATTTGGATCCTCGATTAAAGGATTTAATGCTAGCTTTATTCAGTGGAGTGAAAAAACTTTGAACCGAAAATTTGAGATTTAATCCTTACAATGACTCAGTCAAAGTATAATTTGATTCACAGATCATCAAAAACTTGCGAAAAATCCGAAACAATGTACAGTACAGCAAAAACAATTATACAAGGTTTACTAGATTATAATTTAAAGTTCACACGGATAAATGATTACACGTGTTAATACTTTTTAATGCACGTTTAGCGTGCCTCGTTTATCCGAGATTTTTTTTCGGAAACGTTTAAAGAGGTTGTTTGGTTACATAATTCGGAACCAAAGTTTTAATTAATATCAACTAGGTCATTTCGTATTATTTGATATATAAATGCCGATGGAATATAGTTTAACCACTTGTAATGATGATCAAATGACATCCTTGATGATTTCTTTAAAATTCCATTGTAATAAAAGAAAATTACAATGGTATATTTTTGTAAAACAAACGTGAAAAAAGCGACATTAAAAAAATATTTTTTTAGTTTTGTAATGTATTATTTTTAGATTCTAACGAAATGATACGCATTTATTAATTAAATGAATAATCGAAAAAATTTTGCTTTTACATTGTTCTTACTTTTTAACTAGATGATCATTTCATCAACCTATTTCAAACAATATAAAACATAGATACCTCATGTATAATTTAAAGTTACACGTAAGAATAAAAGAAATTGTAATGTAGGAACAATACTATAAACAATACATCTTATTTTATTTATTTACTTTTCTTGGATAAATCATCATACAAGAATAATATTTATAATATTATCTTATTACTATAATATGCAAAAAAAGATGTCCACGTTTTGATATATATAAATGTGTTTTTTTCTTTAAGGGTTTTGTAAAAAAAATTTGTTTATGACCTTTTTATATAAAATCACTTTCTAACTTGAAAAAAAGAATAAAAACAAAAAAAAAAACAAAAAAAAAAATTTATTTAAAAGAAAAGCAAACTTTCTATCTTTTAATTTCATTCATTTCTGTTTTGTCTTTTTCTTTTAAAGAAACATTATTCCCATAGTTATTTAATAAGCAATAAAAAAAAAATTTTTAAGCAAAAAATGTCTGCTACAATTGCAATTAATTCAATTAATATTCATTATAGTCACGGAGACCATAATACAAATTTAATTAATTCGGTTAGAAGTGAACCTCCAGCTTATTCTGAAGATGATAACGATAAAGAAATTAATACCACATCAACTTCGGATGATGTTTCAATTCCAACATCCGCACTCCTTTCTCCAAATTCTTCTTCACATCAAGAATTACCAACAAATCAATCATCAGAATCCCTTCCATCTTATGATCATGTAAAGATTGATGTGCCACCTTCTTATCCAGCCGAAAATACAACAAATTTAAAATTAGGTTCTTTTTATGATTTGGTTCCAATTGAACCTCAAAATCCCTGGCCCATCACTAAAAAATTTTATATTTTTGGTTATTTATTATGGCCTTTATGGTATATTGGTATTCTTTTTAGTTTTTTTGGAAAAGACCAGGAAACCAAACGATGGGGAAGAAGATGTATTTTTAATTCAGTTATTGTTAGCCTTGTACTTGTTTATCTCATTGTTGCTTCTAAAAGTTTTGCAAAATGAGAGAACACAACCTTAAGACATTCTTATCATGGTTTCTAGTATAGTTAATCAAAACTTTCTTTTCTTTAAACAAATTAATAATTTCATTATTTTCTTTACTAGAGATCCGACGCACTTCACATACTCATCATACTGTATTTTTTCTTTAATTTCAAATGTAAATATTTTAATCACAATCTTTCCTTATATATATTAGTATACATATGTTAATTAATTTTTAATTTACTACTGTAATTTTATCAATAAAAAATGAAATCTTGAACGAGACTAACAATTGAAGATCAGCACGAATTTGTATTTCTGATGCACATGTTGAATAAACTTTTTTTTTTTGGATAATTACTGATTTCTAAATTGGGTTTATTAAAATCAAAATTGAATAATCGAATTTTTTCATTCCCCAAAGTTGGTTTTGTTTTTTTTCTATTTTAACATATTTTTTATAAAGATATACAACCATGTATGAATTAAATAATATAGAAGGAAATGGAAAAGATGCTGCTGCTGCTGACTATTCTTCAACAAAATATACTTCATTAGAATCTTCGCCGTCAAATATATCAACCAAACGTTCTGTAAAATTGAATCCTCCATTATGGAACACGTTGGAATTTTATATTCATTTCTTTATCGTAATCACTTCCATTATGTATATGTTTTATGTAGGATATCATATAAGTAAAGGTATGTAGATGTGTAAATAAAATTATAAAAAATTTTTACCTAATTTTTGATTTTTGATTTTTGATTTATTTAGAAACGAATCCAAATTATGATAGATATTCTAAAAGATTAGAAAATGGATGGTTCTTTGGACGTAAAGTGGCAAGTGAATATTTTCAATTTCTCTTTATTTAACGATCAATTTTTCTAAAAATAATAATAATAAAAAAATCTTTACCAATTTATAGGATAACAGTGACGCACAATTTGCATCATTTCGAAATCATTATGGAGTCTTACTATTAGCTTTAATATCTTATTTATTTCTTTCCCATTTATATCGAATATATTTTGTACCAAAGTCCCCTGCGAAATTATCAACGCAACCACTTCGCAGAACCTATTTTTTCCTGTCATTTGCATTAATATTCCTTTATATTCTTTATGGAAATAGTTTAATTAAAATATTGATTATCTTGAGTATTAATTTTTTAATTCCAGTGACATTGCAAGGATCAAAGTTGAATCCTATCATTACTTGGATCTTTAATTTGGCTGTTTTATTTGCTAATGAAAGATATGACGCGTATAAATTTAAATGGATTAATGAAAACCTCACATTTTTGGTAAGCTAAAAAAATTTCATTTGTTTATCCTTTTTTTGGAAGGAAAGTTTATTTTTTTTCTTTTTCTTTCTAACTTTTATACCTTTTCTTTTAGGATGCTAACGTAGGATTATTAGCTCGATGGGATGTCACATTTAACATTTGCATGTTACGTATGGTGTCATTTAATATGGACTATTATTGGTCATATCATCCCTCACCAGATTCGACTGAGGTAATCTTGGGAGATTCATATGTAAATAATGATTGTTTTCTTCTTTGGGCATCACGAGACAACAAACTCAATTTGTAACCAAATTAATTAATTAATTTAATTTAATTTTTTTTTAAGAAAAATGATAGAGATCATGCCCCATTAACGGAAAAAGATAGAATTATAGGATCATGTTTTAAAGAGGATTACAATTATATTAATTTTTTAAGTTATATATTGTATACGCCTTTATTTCTTGCTGGACCCATCATCTCTTTTAATAATTTCATTTCTCAGGTAAGTAAAGTATTAAAATATTTTATTCTATCATTTAAAAAGCAAATGTTTGTAACAAAATATTTTGATTATAGTTGAGGTATCCAAAAGAAATTGACATTAAATCAACATTCATTTATGGAGTTAGATTATTAGCGGCTATACTTACGATGGAAATAATGTTACATTTTATTTATGTTGTAGCTATAAGTAAATCAAGAGCATGGATGGGTTTTACTCCTTTTGAATTAAGTATGGTTGGATTTTTCAATCTAAAATATATTTGGTTAAAAGTAAGTAAAAACGAGATAGAAAAAAGAAATGTTAGAGATTTATGGCTAAACAATTTTTTTTTTTTTTGTGGATTTATAGTTGTTGATTATATGGAGATTTTTTAGATTTTGGGCGATGGCCGATGGATTCGAAGTACAAGAGAATATGTTGAGATGCATGTTAAATAACTATTCTACATCGGGATTTTGGAGAAGTTGGCACAGAAGTTACAATAGGTGGCTTATTAGGTAAGTCTCGCTTTAATTTTTTCTTTTTACTTAAAATTACCTAACTTAGCAAACACATACATATATTTCTTTTCGATAGATATATTTATATTCCACTTGGAGGGGCAAAATATTCAACATATAATATGTTGATAATATTTACATTTGTCGCATTATGGCATGATATATCATTAAAATTATTAGCATGGGGTTGGCTAATCTGGATATTTATTTTGCCTGAAACTATAGTTACTAGGATATTCACCGAAAAGAGGGTAAGCATAAGAAGAACTTTTTTAAGGATGTTTAAAGAAATTTGCATATTTAATAAGTTTTACTTTATTTGGTAATAGTTTGGAGATTACCCATATTATAGACATTTATGTGCAGTTGGTGGTGTATTAAATTTACTCACCATGTGGGCTGCAAATTTGGTCGGATTTGCCGTTGGTTTAGATGGTATGAAAGTATTGTTAAGTGATATTTTTAGAACATCTGATGGTTAGTGTATATATATATATATCATCTATCTTTTTTTTGTTGAAAATATATTCTAACTTGTTATTTTATTTAGGTCTTATATCACTCGGTTTATGTTGCATTTCTATATTTTGTGCTGTACAAATAATGTTTGAAATCCGAGAAGAGGAGAAAAGAAAGAACTTTAACCAAGAGATTAGATATTAATTAATGTGTAAAATGTTGAAATAGAAATTCGTTTATTTATTTTCTTTTATAGATAGAAACTAATTAGTATTTTATTTAATGGCTATTTTTCTGTCATTGATAATTTTTTCAATTTTTTTTTTTATAAACAAAAAAAAATATATTTGTTTAATTCAATTGATTTAATAATAATAAAAAAATAAAAATAGCACGTTAATTTGATATTTAATTACGCAACCGCTGACATGATGTGAATTGGAATTTAACTTTTATTTTATTTTTTTTTCACTTAGAATCACATTGCAAAAACGCCGCACTTTAAACCAGTTATTATGGTTTTAAAACGCGAAATAAAAAAACTTTTTCCATTCAAATTTGAATATTCTTTTTTTTTTTTTTAAAAAAAAAAAGCTACATGGTAAAATTTTGAATCTAACGAATTTTTTCCCCAAAATTTTCGATGTAAAAAAAAAAAATTTATAACCACCATAAATAATCTTCAATCATGAAGGTAATTTGTTTCCTCACTTTACATCATATTTCATACTGAACCATAACAACTTCTTCATAATAAGAAACTTCATTAGTTCCAACGCCAATTTTCTCACAATCATTCTTACAGGTAAATATCATAATGGTTCCCCATTCCATACCGAGATTAAATATACTTTTCTTGTCTGAACCTTCTTCATCTTCATCAATATAGAAACTAGTAGATAAAATGGATAACATACTTGGCATCAATTGTAACTCAAAAACTCTCTTGGATTCACATCTACGACAAACTGGTAATTTTGACGTTGTGATATTCTCACTACGATCATCGATTTTGGGAAATAGGAGCTTTGCAGTTTCATCACCATGTGTGTATAATAATGGTTGACCATCGAATTGATACCTAAATATTTTATTAATAAATACGTGAATTAATGGTATTTGCAAATCAACAGCTCTCAAAAAAAATTTTTTTCTCTTACCTTACGCATTGATCAGGCCATTCCGCTACACGATCAGAAAATTTTTGAAATGTTTTATCATAACCTTTTGGTAAGATTGCCTTTTCATATTTCTCTCCAGACCAATCAAAATTATCATTTTCTTGATCCCTATCCATAAGGTCCTGGACTTCTTCGTATGACCAATGCTTTTTAAAAATATCATCATTTTTTTTCTCTTCCAACACTTCCTCAGTAATGTACAGGTATTGTGCCGCAAATGATTTAATATGCTCGGGCCAATTTCCTGGAGTTCCGTAGATAAAAAAATTGTATTGGTATTAATAAGCAAAATTTAATAATAATTCTCGCTGAATATATTATAACTTACTATTTAATGACATCATAGACATATCAACAGCGATTTGTGATACATCCTCATCATTATCCCGCTTTCTTGAAACTTGATTCTTCTCATTTCGTGCCTTTTCCGCATCAGAAATGACCTGACTCCAAGAAGGTTGTCGTCTTGTATCGTATGTTACCTTTTTATTGATATTTTGTTGAGACATTTCATTTTCATAACCTTTTACTTTATCATATTTCGCCTCCCTTTCAGATTTCTCTAAAACCTTGATATAAAAAGTGATTAAATAAGCATTTCATTAAATGTAATTAAAAATAGATTGTAAATCTACCTTTTCTTCACCATCAACCGTAAGAGCCTGCATGTCATTTACGTCATTTGCATCATCGGAATCTATTATTCCAAATAACATATCACCTAACCCTCCCTTTATAACCTGGAATACATGAATTTTTATAAATGAATTAGAATTACTCTGCGATGAAATAATAAAGAATTTATGAAAAAAATTACATTGGTCGATCGAGGAGAAGAGTTATCATGAACCTTTTCATTTGACCATTGTTTATTTATCCACTCTTTTTGATATTTTCTCTCATATTCTTCATCTTTTCGATGTGCCCGAAATGCTCGAAAACTTTATTACGAAAACAGATCATGTTAAAACTAAAAATAAAACAAATCAAAAGGATAGATGAGGATTTTCTAACCTTCCACTCTTTTTCATACATTTTTGTTGGTTACATCCAAAGACATATATCACTCGATCATAAATGGAACCCTCCAAAGGTACGTAACCCTGAAAAAGCAAAAACATCTCTTTATCACAATTCTTACAGATAATAACGTCATGTGATAAAGGATGTGTTTTGCGTAACCATGTCGGCTTTCCACCAATTTTTGTAGTATATGGGTCATGGTCTTCTTGTGATGATATCTCACCGTCAGAAAACCCTAACAAAGTCGATGATCTTTGTGAATCAAGATTTGTTTGCCTTGATATAGATTCACTTTGAATAATATATTGGTCTGAAGTTTTGGGTGAACTATTCGATTTTTTATTTTTAGATCTTTTTTTATCTATTACGGCTTTAATAGAACAACTTGAAAGACTTGAATTTTGAAAATCATTAGATGTGGCTTGAGATTGATGATTTAATGAATTTTTATCGAAAATCGAAATAGGTGGCTGTTGCTTTATTGATTTTGATTTTGACTTCTTTTTTGATCTACTCGTTTTAGATTTTGAAGATGAATCATTATCTAAACAATTAACATATTTGGATTTCCTTGGATCCATTATTATTTTCATATGCTTTTGTTCTGCAGTGAATTGAGTGAAGAATAGATATATATATATATTTTTAAAAAAAAAAAGATTATCAGCCAAAATGCTTGAACAATTGCAATTGATCAACCAACCATGTTATTCATTTAATTTCTAAATTTGTGAACAAATAACCCGTGTAAAAGACCTATATATATACACGAGTTTTTTTCAGAAGAAGATAACTATATCATAATGACTTCGATTTTCAAATTATTAGAAACTTTACGCCCAATTCTTGAATACCTTGATAACGATAAAAAAACATTATATTCATGCATTTTGGTAAATCGAACATGGTGTCGAATTGCGGTTCCAATTTTATGGCGTGCTCCATTTAAAAATCTTTTGCCGATAAGGCAATCAGGTTTAATTTCTACTTTTATTGGATGTCTTGATGATGATGCAACCATAGAAAAATTAAAATTATTTGAAGGGTTCCCTTTGGAAATACTGAAGATTCCAACGTTTGATTACGCTTCTTTTCTACATGAGCTTCACTTTTCATCTTTACATGACGCAGTTACATTTTGGTGTGAAGGAAAAAGTTTGGATCGTTTCCAAAATGAAGGAAGAGATATTATTCTTTACCCGGTAAAAACTATTCTGGTGATGCTTATTGAGCAATTCATGGAAAAGTCAACAAACCTATCAAAACTCTCTATTCCAGTAATAACGCACCGAGATGGAGAATTTTTGTCTTTGAAGAAACATGAAACGATGGCTCGAAAACGTTTGCCAAAGATAAGATACTTAGACTGTGATGATTGCATGATAGACAATCTGAGAATCGCTTACGAAACATGTACCAATTTGAGTCGATTAGACATTGATTGCTCTTGGGGAAATGATGAACATGTATCAAAGCTTTTAGAAGTTCAAAATCGTTTACAACATTTAACAGTTATAAAAAGATGTCCATATTTGAAAAATGCAATAAATGATGGAGATTTGAGGAGATCTCTAAGGTGTGTTGTGTTCAAGGATAATAGAAACTATACAGATAATGGAGGTCCTTTAAATGTACTTGCACCATGTAAAAGATTGGAAATACTGAGATTTGATAATTGGTTACCATTTCGAGAGGACGATATGAAAGAATTGGTATCTAATTCATTTCCAAGACTTCGAAAATTAAGCTTCACCCGTTGTGAACCAAAGGCCGAAATTATTATAAACATGATTTTGACGAATGGGTTTAGCTTGCAAGAGCTTACATTTTCATTGCCTTGGTACGATAAGCAATCTAACGTCATCAAGACGATAGCAGAAAATTGTCCAAACCTAACATATCTTGATGTTCCCTTTGCAAAAACCGATCTGGAACCTTTCTGTGAATTGTTGAAATCTTGTAAAAAGCTTGAGAGTTTGACGATTAAAACGTTATTTAATCGTGGGGAACTTCCTTATGATGTTGATAATTTCTTACCTATAATTGGTGCTGCTATTCCTAAATCCTTGTGTCAATTTAATATCTTTGCACATTGGACATTTACTGTAGAATCACTACGAAATTTTTTAATGAAAGATTGTAAAAATGATTTGAGATGTTTGGGCTTCTTAGGGAATATTACTGATGATCATCTTGAAGTAATTGAAACATATGCCTATGAAAGAAAATCATTACATTATTTAGAATTGCGTTCGTGCGATACAAGTTTTAAAGCAAGAAAAAGTATTAGAAAATTTATATATGTTAATGCTTATGATTCATTTGGAAAAAAAATAGCATAAGAAAAAGTGACATTATTTATAGTAATTGTAATTAAAAGCTAATTTTTCTATTACGATATAATGAAATCTTATAATAAATTTTTTATAACCATTTTTTTTCTGCTTCATAACCTATATGTAAGCAAATCATTATAACTAAACTAAATAAGATGTGATTTTATCTTAAATTGTTTTTTCTTATTTAACCCATCTTTTTTTAATTATCTGTATCCATCAGATTTATATCATCTCTACATAAACAAAAAGACGTGTTAATTAAAGAATAAAAAGGTGATTGTGTCCATTTTTTTCTCTTACATAGGATCAAGATTAACAGTGATAGGACCATCCAATTCCAACGGTAAATCTAAACAAGGAACTTGACCATTAGGCAAACAACCTAAAGCACAAGGTTTCCATTCATTAAGATCATGCATCTTCCATGCTATTTCCTTATTTGAAGGCATTGTATCATCATTACTTTCTAATATTACTTCTTCTGAAGATACATTCTAAATTTTTAATTTTTAATTTTTTAAAAAAAAATGAGTTAATAATAAAATAAGTCAATATATCCAATAAATTTAATAAATTTAAAGATCACCTTCATTAATTTATTAGCCTTATCCAGCTCATGTCGTAACTTGAATATTTCAGCATTCATATCTTCTTCAGTAATTTTGGGTATATCCTCAACATTTTGGATAATATCATTATCATGAAGCAATTTCTTAATATAATTCAGGAACGGAGTAATACTTTTATTTAATTCTTCATCACGTTCCGCCATAATTTCTAATATCAATTGAGTATACGCATTTGGTTTACTTAAACAAAATTCCAATATATCATTCACTTCTATAGAAGTAAATAATGATGTATTTTCAATATAATAAATATTCAAAATATGTTTGATCCATGCAACCAAAGTCATACGATAGCTGGAACTTGTATGTGCGGATTTAGATTGAGGAATGCTCATGTCTAGTTTTAAGTCATCCTTATCCCTAGTCAAAACTTCCAACATTCCAAATATTAGCTCATCTCCAAAAGTACTCCATTTTTCTCCAAATGCATTCAACATTGGCATCCATATTTGAATTGATTCTTGAGATAAACTTAAATCCCGAGCCAATACACGTTTTTTTTTTGCCATAGGAACCAAAACTCCAGGTTCCAATAAAACAGAAATAAGTAATTCTCTAATGTATTCTTCACTAATTAAATCCATTATGTTTTTCACAACCTTCGTGGATGGATCGCGTTCATTTGTTTCATAATTATTCATATTTTCTTTCCGAAGTTCTTTGTATTGAAATACCATAGAACGCATTCCGTCAACTTGTGTTGATTTCCATGGCATTTGAGATGACCAAAAGTTTTCGTTTAACCATTGTAACGCCTAAATAATTTTGTAAATCAGTTTCTTCTTTTTCTAGGTAATATGATAGAATTATAACTTAAATACGGTACATGTTTACATCCATTTCGTAATATTTGCAGACTTGGAAGACGCTCGTGAGTTCCCGCATGACGCAATTCTACAAACCACAATGGCATATGTAATTTAGTTGCGATAGAGGATATCGATGAAGCAAAAACTCCTTGTTGAGCTGGATCCACTATTCCATTTACAAACCTAAATTAAAAAATTATTAAAGAATATGTAAATAATATAATAGTACGAACTAAATTCCTCTCATACCTAACAAACACCATTGAGTATAATAATCTTAGTTCATGAGTTGTAATTTTCCCGTATCCAAAATCATCTCTTAACGATGCTTCAACAAACGCCGCTGTGCTTAAAATCGCATGAGGAACTCTTCCACGACTGGACCAAGCCTTTACCTGTTTTTAAATAATTACGTTTTAATTAAAAATTAACTTCATTGAAGTTCAATGTAATTTTACCCTTTTAACTCCTAATTCACGCAAATTCGGAGATTCTGCATAGAGCCAACTATGAACTTGTTGAAATTCTTCGGGGGATGTCCAAGGTACAATTCTTGGTATTTTTTTCATGATTGAAAAAAAATCTTTAAAATCTATAAGATCGCAGGGGTATATCCTTCATTTAACACGTGACGCGTGATAAAAACTATCCCCAGAACAAGGAAATATTTTGATTTTATGATTCGATAGACCTTATTCATTTATTTCCTCCAAATTTTCATAAGAAAGGAAATGCCTATATTTGAACGAATTACACTTCCTATCAACCTTGTTTTCAAACCAAAAATATGCCGAAAAAGTAAAACATTGTTTTTAAAGTGTTTAGATAAAAATAAATACATAACAAAGTTAAGAGTGATTAATCCGACTTTAAATGTAAGGTTTTTTTTCATTTTTGATATTATCAATATTTTAATTAAAAGAAATCGTTTATTATTATTTAATTAGTTCACCATATCCCAACCTGGTAAGTAATAAATTATATCTTATGGACCAATGACAGTAAATTAAAATGAATCTTTTCTTAAAAAGAAGTGGTTAGCACAATGGCTATTATTAGTGGAATCATTTTTACGACTGATTTAAAAGAGATGCGGAGATTGAAACACAATGGTAAATATTCATCGGCATCTCAACAATTTCACAAGTCGAGGAGGAGGAGGAGGTTGAAGATTATAAAAGGAACCGGAAGAAGTTCTAAATTTACAATAGCAATATTTGTTGTTGTAATGATTATTACAGCTGATTTTTTCTATAAACATAAATCAGAACTCAACTTGTGATTTTAGAAATGAACTTGGGTTCTCTAATACACCTTACATAAAAAAGAAAAGGAAGAAATTCACTTATTTCGAATAAACACAGATCGTGATGCTTTTTTTTAAACCGGAGAATTTTATGCCCAATCAGTTAATGCCACCAAACGCTAATCACGTGACACCATAATTTTTAGGCTGTGTATGAAAAATTCCTATTTTCTTGAGTTTTTTTTATTTTATTTTTTTAATTTATTTTTTATTAAATATATTTCTAATGGTCCGGTTAACGCTGTGGCCATTACTGTCCCTCTTAGTGGTTTTCTTAACGTGGGTAACTTGTATAAGCGCTAATGAAGAAACTTTGGTAAGATTCAATAGATTACTTAGTAACCATGATACAATATTCATTGTTATATTTTTTGTACTTAACAGGATAATCAATTGGATATGACAAGATGTTCGGGAATGTATGAAAAATCAGCAATTCCTGGGGGGACGGATCCTTACGTTACATGTGAGTATTTTGTCATTTATGTACGTGACTAATTTAAAGTTTACTCTGTTGCAATTCGCTCATAAAAATTCTTTAAATATTTGATAGTAAAATGGAGATCAGATTCAAAGGATGATGCCGCGGTAGCTATATTTGAATGGAAAGATATCGTTAAAATAGGCCATGAAGAGAAAAATGATCAGAATGTAAGATATCATTTGAGAATTATCTTTAAACTTTTTTATTTTAATCTTTTAATAACTTTTTAAATAAAACAAAATTTGTACAGAAAATTTACATTTGCGATGATGATGCCATTAAAAATAAATATTGTCCCGAGTCTCAACGAAATAATTTCATTGTTCCCGAAAATGAAACGTCCATTGTCACTCACTTCTTTAATGCTTCTTCAAAGGGGACATTAAAGACGATTCGTTACCCCATTGAAAAGACAGGATATTATTGTGCTGTTGCATTTCCTATACCATTTGATAATAAAGAATCGGAATACTTTGTTACTGTTGATTGGCGAAATCCTTATGGAGAATTACCCGCCGCAGAGTATCCAAAATTACCAGTAATTATTTTTAACTTTCAAAAACTTTTATCAACGAAAAAGTTTCTAACTTTTTTCTTGCCTGTTATTTCAAAGTTCTATGGATTTTTGTCATTAGTTTATTTGGCAATCGGTATCTTTTGGATGACTCTGAGCATAATGTATTGGCGCGAAATTTTACCTGTTCAGGTATATGATAATTTGGTATATTTAGCAGTGCAAAATTTGACGGTTAACTTTATGTCAAATCTCGATTTTATTTAGAATTATATATCCGGAGTTGTCTTATTTCTCATGTTGGAAATGGCTTTCAATTGGGGATATTGGGAGAATTATAATACGTACGGACGTTCATGTAAGTTTGTTTATATGATGAAAAAAATTCATGAGAAGTTACTTATTACTTACTTCTCATTATTAGCCACTTTCCTCATTATTTTTGTCGCTGTTCTCAATGCCGGAAGAAATTCTATTTCATTCTTTATGCTTTTGATTGTGTGCATGGGCTATGGCGTTGTCAAGTACGTAAAATTTCAAAACAAATATCATTTTGTTTTCAAAGGAATTAATGATATAAATTCTATGCGTCTTGTAGACCTACACTTGGAAACACAATGAATAAATGTCGTGCTTTGGCCGCAACACATTTCTTGTTTGGCATAATATATGCATCGGGTACAATGCTTTTGGACCCAGATGCAGCTAACCCTCTCGTTCTTCTAGTTATTTTCCCTCTTGCTTTTACAATGACAATATTCTATATTTGGACAATTCAATCAATAACCATCACACTTCAAACACTCGAAATTCGTAAACAAAGCGTGAAAGCTTTAATGTATAAGCGTCTGTATCGGCTGCTTGTATTTTCGGTCACAGTTCTTGGGGTTTTCTTTTTCATAAATATGTTCAATTATCTTCATCGAGAAGATCCTGAATGGATATCCACATATTGGCTTTGGAGATGGTTTCTTTTGGATGGATGGTTGAATATATTATATTTGATTGTATTTTGTGTCATACTCGTAATTTGGAGACCTACGAAAAACAACAAGAGATATCCTTTAGATTGATTTGATGATTTAATCATGATGTTTTTACACTTTATTAATCCTTAACTATTTTTTCGTCAATACATTCGCGATGAGTGAAGAATTAACACAAGATGATCCTTATGAACTGGAAATTAATAACCTTCGAACAGCTGAAAATCTTGGGTATGATAATTTGAAGTTTAGATCCGAGACTGAACGGTTAAATGATGATAATGGGTCTGCTATATTTGATATCGGAGATGAACATGATGATGATGAAGAATTTAATAAGTGGGATGACGAACAATCTACCGTAAGAGCAAGTCATGGTGGTAGCTCTTCAAGTCATGAAGCAACTCCTCAAAGGTAAGATTTTTTTTTTTTAACCGTGAATCCTTTAATAAGTTAAAATCAACAAGTTTTCCATGAATAATTTTAGGATAAATGAAGAAGAAAACCAAGATCATATCGAGCAAGAAATTTCAAAATTGAATTAAGAGTTTTTGTTTTATATTGTAATATTTTAATGAACAAATAATTAGACATTTAAAAATATAATTTTAGTATAAAGTAAATTAATATGGAATAATGTATTAGTTATAACCTTGTTTTTTTTTTTCATTTGTGATTTTTTTTTATTTTACATTAAAAAAAAAATAAATAAACAAATCATAAAAAAATTAAAGTAAAATAAAAAAAGGTTTGGCACGTTCGTTGCACGAGCATGCATTTCACAAAAATTCAAACATAACATCTTAGATGTTTTATGCAGGATCATCATTAGTGTTATCAAAAAAAAATAAATAAAAAGGTTTTATTGATCATTTCCTAGTTTAAACCATTCATGACATCACTTATACAACTTTAAAAGTTTAACCAGTTTTTCATCCGGATTATGAAAATTTATCGGAATTCAAATTCTATCACGAGATACCTTCATTCTTTAAGATGCTTAATTATTATGTTTGGGGTCCAATGTTTATTTATCACATGGTAATTGGTTCTCCAGGAAAAAAACCTGAATATGTAAGCTTCCGGAATCGAGATAGGTTCACACCTCCGTGTAACTTGGTGCATATAATAAATTGTACTTGTTAGTTTGGACTTTTTATTTTTGGTAACCTGCTTTCTCTTACAAATATTTGTAAACAAGGTTATGAATAAATAAAAAGCCGAAACAATTCCAAAAAAAAAAAATTATTATTTTTTTTCCCATTTTATTCGAATATATATTTTTTTTTCGGACATATTAACATGAGTTATCGAGGAGGTTATTGTTCGTTCGAATTTAAACTTGATAATGTCTTAAAATTAACAGAAAAAATTTATTCTCCACCTTTTGCAACGTCAACTTGTCGAACGTGGATGTTGATCTTTGACCCGGTATTTGAATGATATTATACATTTAAAAAATAATTTATTTTAAAAAAACAAATTTATTTATGAAAATGATTTTTTTTTTTTGATTTTTTTTTTTTAATAAAATAGTATACGAATGATCCAAAGACTTATCAAATCCTTCTTTGTACGATACTGAACAAAGAATCAAATCGGATAACGGATACATTCTTGCCTTTAAAAGTGATATTGAAATCTCCTTCAGGAGATATTCTCCATGAAGTTTCTACGAGTGATAAGATATTTAATAAATCCGGCTTATGTAAGTAATCAATTTTAAGAGTATCCAGAATTATGCAATGCACAAGAGGTAGATTTTTGTCAATCTACCTAAATTTACAATTGAAAGTGACATTTATTAAACTGCGGATGGATGCAAAAAATGCATGCCTTTTAAGTATTGCATAAGTCTGGGCACTCTAAAAAAGGACTCGATTTATCCAAGAATGAATTAATTGAATTAATTGAAGTATTTTTTATATAAATATATATATATATATATATTTCAATGTAGTTCTTGTTCACAAACGTCCAAGATCTACGCTACTTAATAGTATAATTATTAATATACAATTTAGCGATGTTCGATTCACTAAAGCTCCTCCCAGAATGCCATTTGGAACCAAACAAGTTGCGGAAAATTTAGTTCACGCGTGGTCTAATGAATTAAACAAGCCGGATCGAGGAGATGTTAGATTTAAAGTTCAAGATAGTTTTATTTATGCAAACAGTTCAATTCTTGCGACGAGGTCGGATTATTTTAGGACAATGTTTGAAGGTGATTGGATAGAATGCAATAAACAAGAAAGCTCAGCAAATGATGATGTTAATGAGAATCGACATAAATATGAGATCGAAATTACGGATTTTAATTATGATACCGTCCTTGCTATGCTTCATTTCTTATATACGGATGAAGCCAATTTCGTAAATTATAGTTTAGACAATATATGGAACTTGTTTAGCATTTCTGATAAATATTTTGTGGATGAATTGAGACAAAGGATTAAATTTCATATAATTGAACTATTGAACGAAAGGAATGCGGCTGAAATGTTATTTAAATATGCGTGGAAATGGCCCGATTTAAAAGAGATCATCATAACGTTTAATGTTGAACACTTTTTAAAAATTCGAAAAACGAGAGGATTTAAACAAATCGTTTCTTCGAAATCAGACTATCCAATGTATCATGAATTACTTGAAGAAATGATTTTAGAATTATACCCGGAGGATGAAAATCTATGATATTGTTTTTTTTTTTTTATCTTTAACCTATATTTTATCTTTTTATTCTAATTAGTTTCTAAAGTAATAAAAAAAAAACCAATAATTATTTTTCATTATTTTCGATAAATAATCGTCGTGGAACGCTTCACAGGATCGACCTATTTGGAAGATCCAAAATTTATAGTTTTATTTTTTCCCCTTTTCCCCTAATTTTTTCACAAACAAAGATATAAATATCTTTTAAAAAAATTTGTTTCACTCTAATTTTTATTACAAATAATAACAATATCACTTTTCATTTCCCGCTATTAATAAAATCAACCCCTATTTATTGTAGTACCGATGACCGAATATCTTTGGAGTTTTTTTTTCTATTTTTGGTAAAAAGATTGTAAAGCGAAATGAAATATTTATAATCATGTAAATAAAATATTCATTTATTTTTTATCGTTACAGTAATATACTCTGATCCAACTGTTCTTATGTATTCAATGTTTGCATCAAGATCCAATCATTTTAAACAAATTGTTTTATTAATCTAATTACAAATTTGATTTAAAAACCATTCTTTAATTCGATTTTTTTGTACACACTTTTAGATGATAGTTGTTTTAATTTGAATTATGTTGGAAAATTTATCGTGGAAAAAGTTAGGAAAGAATCAGATTTATTTTTACTGAATACCCGATTTAAAAGCTTTTAGATTTAAAAAAAAAAATTTTTTTCTCTTACGAATTTATCAGAATTTATTTTTTTTCGGATCGGCATAATTCGAGTCTTAAATATGATGTTAAAGATGACGCGACTAAAATGTTATTTATGGTATTCAAACATGAAATTTACCTCCTGTTTTGGATTATAAAAAAAAGACACGTTTTCAACCTTTACTTGATATTTTATTTTTATATTTTTATTTTTTAATTTTATTTTTGTATCTAAACAAGTAAAAATGAGTCTTCCAACAGGAAAGACGTGTCTTTTCGAATTTGCTTTGAATGATGTAAAAAATTTCAAGGTTTCCGTGGATTTTCCAATATTTTCTACATCAAACATGCATAGTTGGCAATTATCCTTTAAACCCGTAAGTCCAATTCAAGTTATATTGACCTCCTCATATTGATTTCATTAACATGATAACATCCTTTATAATGTATTTTTAGCATTTTAGTGGAGATAAAGAAAAATTCAATTTAAGCCTAATGCCAAAACTGAGACTTAATTCAGACAATAATTTATCCAACCCTTGCAATTATAACAATATAACGGATATAGCGTTATTTGTCAAGACTTTAGGTGGACAAGTCATCAAATACGGGACAATAAAAAGTAAAGAAAACATTCTTGAGTGTAAGTAAATGATCATCATGTTTAAAAAAGAAAAACAATGATATAACTAAGGTTCCCATTTAAAATCTTTTAAAGGCGTGGCAAAGGGCATGTGTATGTGCTGTTCTCGATCCTTACTTTTAAAAGATGTCATTGTTGGGGTGAAGATTTACACCGATAGAGCGGAGGATAACCCCGTGGATAGTTTTTTTCAACTTCGATCCGTTCCACTCAATTTAATTAATGCTTGGACCAAGGATTTGAACAATTCGGATCGAGCGGACGTGAAATTTATTATAAATGGATCCTACCTGTACGCGAGTAGCTCCGTCCTGACAAGTCGATCAGAGTACTTCAAGACCATGTTTAATGGTAAATGGAGAGAATGTCGTTCGAAAGTTCATCAAAGATCGTTGTCAAAAAATCAAAAGAACAATAATTCGAATCAATATAAATATGAAGTCGAAATTGTGGATTTCAACCAAGAAACGATACGTGCAATGTTACATTTTTTGTATACGAATGAGATACCATCTTATAACGATGTTTGTGATGGTCGTATTTGGTCGTTGTTCATTGTTTCTGAAAAGTACCTTTTAGATGACCTTAGAACAATAGTTAGGAATTACATATTTGACAGGTTGGATGAAGAAAACGCGGCCAAAATATTATTCACATACGCTTGGAAATGGCCCGATTTGAAGGATCCAATCTTGAAGTTTGTGGTGGATAAGTTTAACACAATTAGGAAGACCGATGGATATAAAGATATCGTCGCCAGTCCAATAGGTTATCCAAATTTTTTTAATTTGAACACGGAAATTTTGTTAAATTTATATCCTGATTGAAAAGGTTTTGATATCGAATTTCTTTTCTGAAATAATTTGTTTTTTTTTTGCGAAATCTTTTTTTACTTTCAAGAAGTAGGAATTTATATTTGTTGATTGATTGTTAATAGAGGCAACCTTAAAATAGAAGCAATTTATTGGAGCCTATTAGAGCAGACAATTGTAATAGGGTTAGATTTGTTTTTTGTAAATTTAAGCGATTTGTTTTGAATCTGATAGATTAATAAATTGTAATAGGATTAAATTTGTTTTTGCTATTTGTTTTGAATAATTGTAATAAAAATTCTAAATAGAATTTAGATTTGTTGATTTGTAAATCTAAATATTTTATCAATACAAATAAAAATGTTTTATTAAAATGTTATCACGTGAAATTCTCTTAATTTTACGTCCAATTCGGGCCGGAATTAAATCGGACATTTTCGGTGGATAGTTTTCACGACGTTGTGGTTTTATTAAGTAAAAACAATTTTTCTCGGTTTTCCGAATAGGACAGACACGATTTCATCACCTGAAATTTATAAGAACCAAGACTCCTCGATCATACGTTACGTAATCTTTCGGGGGATCTTGGACACCCACGTTAAATGATAAATGTCACCATCACCTCTTATAGTAAATCTAGCGAATGTGTACGAAAAAATTTGATAGAAACTTCGCGAAAACACCATCGTCAAATAAATAAACCAAAGCCCAAAGATTACGTAACATATTGGAGCTTTGCAAGGGTTTTTTCCTTAGCAAACCTTCCATATGACGTCTCCCCATGTCAAAAAAATTATCAAAATAAGAGGAAATTATTTAGAAAGGAACAAATTATTAGTTTAGATATCTATATAAGGGAAAGGAGATAGGGAATTAACGATTGAAATCGGGAAGATTTACGTGATTATCCCAAAACAGATTAGACAGTTGCGGCGTATGTTTTGTTTTTAATTTATCGGAATAATGAAATGTAATTTTTGAAATCACAAAGTATAAATTACCGTTTTAGGAAGGTTCATATAATCTCGTCATTTTAGTAAATTTCATTAAGAAAAATAACATTTGATTAAAATTAATGAAGAAAAAATAAACAAACATTGAAGTGCAGGAAGTGTCATTGTTAAAAGAATGATTTGAAAGGAGACGACTCGGAGATTTTTTTATAAGATGACATTTTAAACCCCCAAAATGGAATCAAAGTTCGCGAAAATTTTCACGTGATCCCGATTCCCATTTCATTTTTGGCAAGTTTTGAGAGGAATTTCAAATGCAGGGAAAGAAAAAATTTTCCGAACACGACAGGATAAATGTCAGATTAAGTCAAGATTGTAAAAAACGCGAAAACAAAAATAAAATAAAATAAAAATAAAATACAAACTTTCAACCATTGTTGAATGATAGAAAAGTTCTTAATTTGGAAATTTCATTGTCCAAATGAACGAGGTCTTGAGTTAAAAAGGGACGGATATCATGTTTATTTTTATTTTGAAAGTTAAATATTGGTTCATAAAAAAAAAAATTTTTTTCACCAATTTTTTTCATTCAGGTTTTTGAATGAATAATACATTATTTTTTCGCGATTATTCAATTCAATAAAGAGATGGTCAATCCTCACAGATATATTATAAATAAAGCTATTAACCCCAAAAAGAAATATATTAAAGTAACTGTAAATTCCGCGAGATTTTGATTGTATCAATGATTTAGGATGTCATTGTATAATTGTTCTGTAAATCACTGTTAAATTGGTGAATATTTTATCCGATAAAAAAAAAAAAAAATTAAATTAATTAATGCATATTTCCAAAAATATTCAATGGTTCATCCACAAAGTTGCTATTAATGGATAAAACATTCTTTTATTTATTTATTTATTTTAAGATATGGATAATAAACAATGCTCCTTTTTTTCTCTCTTTTTTTTTTTTTTTAAAAACAAAAAATGAGTTTCTATTTATTAAAAATAAGGTTGTGTAAAAACAAATAACTTACAAAAAAATTGACAATTGTTTGATAAACAAAAAAGAAAAAAAAGTTAGATGATCATTAAAGATATTAAAAAAACATAATAATAATAAACAATATATCGTATTAATGGATACATGTATATAAAATATCTACAATTTACAAAAGATTATTTTTTATTTTTTTTTTTTGGTGTGGTGAAAATAATAATAAGCAAATAAATAAAATTCTTAAGAAAAACGATTAATCGTGTAAATTGCATATGGTTGGTTCCATTGAATCTTTATCCCAATTCATTCCACTCATCAACCGATGAAAACAGTACATGCATTCACGTTCGCTATCGCTTAGCTTTTCTTCGCTTTCAATGCATTGTTGTATAATCTTCCTGGCCCTTTCAACCATTAATGTTTTTTGTGAGGGTAAGATGTTATACTTAAAGTAATGATCCAAAGTAAATCGAAATACAAAGAATGCTTCGCGACCTCCAACCTTTTCTGATAATTTGGCATCTCCTTGTCTCGATAATTTCAAATCGAGTTTTTCTAGAATATTGCTTCGTTCTCGAGAAAAGGAAGGCATCAATTCATTAATGTATATAAAAGTGTACAATCGATCCGCGACCATTTTCGTTATATCAAGAGGCGATATTTCAGGAATTGTTTCGGGACATTCTTTGGAAAGGAACAATTGACAACCGGAGAAAATGGAAGGTAACTGTTTCTTTATTCTACAAGCGATGTGAATTGCTCGGTCTTTTGCCTTCTTCTCGGAGAAATACTCTGAATAAAAATCATGGGTCGTGTATTCGGAGAAATTTTCCGTGGGAGGGAGTTGTGGGGCATGATCAATCGTTGGTTCCAAGTTTTCGGTATCAAAAGACTTGTTTGAATCATCGAGATAAGAAGCGATTTCACTGCTATTCCCGTCATTAATCAACATCAAAGTGCTTATACGTTTGGATTCCCGTTTAATGATACGCATCGTTCGAACAAAGTTACCCGAGTTATCGGCGAAATCCAAAGGTAAGTTCACACTTGTTGAAGAAGGGGAAGATTGTGTCGAATTTCGTGGTGTAATCACTTCATCATAATCATCGCTTGTTGTTTCCGAATCAGAATCGGATGAAACTTCATGATATCGTTTCTTTATGGATTTCTTTAGCTTCCTTGATTCGGTTTGAATGTGAAGGCTCAACCGTTTTGGAAAGAGACGCATCTTTTAATTTTTTTTATTGTATTAATTAATTTATAAAACTTTTTTTTTCTTTGAAAGAGAAAGGAAGTGCGGGTGATATAAATGATATAAAATTGTATCTATTATTTTTTTTCTTTTTGAAAAAAAAAAAAGAAAAAAAATTTAATGATGGTGGAAAAAAAAAAAATCTCTAGTATTTAAATGTAATCAGAGCTGATGATTGTCTAATTAAAATTGAAATGGTTGTTGAAAAAAAAAAGGAAAGGTTTAAATAAATATGATGCCGCTTGGAAATCTTTGAAAGTTTATTTTATGAATGGATGTATGAAAAAACTTTTCCAAGAAAAAACAGGGTAAATTCTATGAGGATGAATGATAAAAAAAATCGACAGATTGTTTATATACTTTTTTTTTTATTTTTTTCCCTTTATTTTATTTATATAAAAAAATATATATAAGTCGAAAAAAAAAAAAATGGTAGAACAAAATTTGACACACATTACATATATATATGTATAGAACATACATATAAGTTTAAATTAGGAGAGGATTAACAATTCTTTTTTTTTTTTTGTTTCCAAGATTATTTTAATAATATATTGTTTTTAGTTTATTTGTTTTTCAATTTAAAGAAGGATGTGACGAATTAAGATCCCTTGATAGGAAGATATTTTGGGTAGATACATGTGGACGCTTTGTAAAAGTCAACATTAACTTTAATTGGATTAAAGGATTTACTTTTATTTATTCTTCTTTTTCTCTACCTCAAGGGGTGCAAAAATATAACGAGACGTTACAAAAAACAATCATGTATTCTTTTTTTTTCGCCCTTTATCATTGATGCAAAATCACAAGAGAGTGCAAATATCTGCAATTGGTGATGTTTATTTGGTAAATAAAAAAAAAATAAAATAAAAAAAATTCCAAATTTGTTAAATGAAGAATTTCTAATTCTTTTTGAAACTGACCAGAACGTTTAAAATTTGCCATTTTTGTTCCGATTTTCCGACAGTTACCCTTAATGATAAAAATGGAGATCGGATTCCGGAGCTATAACTGAAAAAAGAATCTGGTTCACTTTTTTTTTCATTGGTTTTTTTATCGTTTTTCTTTTTTCAACGGCAAACTTGTTTTTTTTATTCGGATGAAGTTGATAACTTCTATTTTTCTTTATTCATTGACCATTAAAAGCTTATAACATGAGAGATTCAAAACGATAACAAGACGAAACATATGCTTTTATTGCCCCCCCCCCCAAAATAAATGAATTCTAACCATTTGGTTCCGATTCTGAAACCTTTTGATTATGTAATAAAATAAATAACCATTTCTTTCCAAACGGAGAAATTTCGGCTGTAAACTAACCAATTTCCAAATTGATCAGTAATGATGACATCAGTAGTAAGTAGTTACGTATATTAAGCGAAATTTATTTGTCATTATTTTTAAATTTTGGCGGAACTTTGGCGGAGGAGCGTAAATTGAAACATACCGAAATGTGACATTATATTACTCCGCCCACGTGGGGATTAAAAAATTAAATATAAACTGTGGAAAAACCTTTTTGTTTGACCGATTTTACAATTATCAAATATAAAATATGGCTGCGCCACAAGAAACACATGCACTAGACGAATCCTCATGGTGGGACACTTACAATTATCATTCAATTGAAGAGGTTTCAAATTCTGAAAGGGTTGAAACCTTTGCCAAAGATGGACTTTTAGATGTATGCGAGTACGTAATTGAACAAGTTTGGCCTTTTATTTTCTAAAAAAAAAAAAACCGTTTGGAAATGTTAAACTCTTTACCCTAATTAGCTGGGTCGTGACGGAAAAGATTCATGGTAGTAACCTTTCTTTTATCACAAATGGTGTACAAGTCAAATGCGCAAAAAGGTCACGACCTTTATCGGATTCCGAAGAATTCTTTGGATTTCAAACGGTAAAAGAAAAGTACCTTTCAAATATTCTCAAATTATGGCGAATAATGTCCTCCAGAAACTTGATTCACTCAACTTTAAACTCCTCTGAAAAAATCGTCACAATATATGGGGAATTATTCGGAGGGAGGTATACTCATCCAGATGTGAAGCCAGTTAATTCTGCCGTGATGTGTCAATTCGGGATCGAGTATTGTCCGCAAAATGAATTCATGGCCTTTGACATATTTGATGGAAATGATTATTTAGATCATGATCCTATGACGGAATTATTTGAAGAATCCGGTATTCCCTTTCTTAAACCATTGTTTAGAGGTTCATTTGAAGATGCTTACCATTTCGACCCTAAATTTACTACCACAATTCCGGTATGCATTGCATTATATAAATTTGAATGATTTATTGGTTAATATATACATGCATGTGTATATTCCTTTTATCTTATTTTATTTTACAGAGTATATTCGGAATGCCACCATTGCCATTTCCAAATAAAGCTGAAGGTGTGATAATTAAACCGGTGAAAACGCTTCATGTGACCTCGAGTGCAGCGCGGACACGTGTGATTTTAAAGATCAAATCTCCGAATTTCGTAGAACGGGTTCGATCCAAAAAGCGGGAGTTCAAGGAAACATCACGTAGCGAACGAAAGAAACCACGTGAACCAATGGACAATCTATTTGCCGAACTTGCGACATTTATTAACGAGAATAGGGTCGCCTCTGTTGTTTCGAAATTCGGTCCCATCGTAACTAAAGGGGAGGATGAAAGTGAGCTGAATGAGAGAATTAATAAAGTAGCCGAATTACTATACAAGGATGCATTAACGGACTTTAATAAGGATGATGAATTACGGGAGAAAACAGAGAAATTGCCAAAGTGGCAACAAGAAGTTATTCGGAAAAGAGGAAATGCCGAGTCCGTGAAGGTCGTAAAAGAATATGCAAGGAAAATCAAAAGCGTACATAAAGAAAACTGTAAGAAGAGGGATAGCAGTGATGAATAAAGGTAATCTATTTGTCGCATATCTAAAATGTCACCCGATTATACCTGTAAAGTAATTTAAATCCGATTGATTCCTTTCATACCAGTTTGAAAGTTGAAATGTAGTCTAAATCGAGAAATAAAAAAAAAAGTCATTATGAAATGACTTTAATAGAAGATATTTCAAAATTTGGACAAAATTATACAAAAAAGAAAGTTCATTGTGTGAATCATTTGGTGTAACTGTTGTGAAAATCTTGGTTATTTTTTTTTCATTTGAACACACTTTAATATGATTGAAAATTTAAATTTAAATTATGGTCATACACAAAAATATTAAAAATGATTTATTTTTAGCAGTTCATACAATCTAGACTATAATAAGAAATGATAAAATGAAATAACCATAAATGTTTAGCATAAAAAAAGAATCTGGGAATTTTTTTTTTCGTAACACATTTGATACATTTGGGGTTAAACCCACTAGAATGATTGGTTTTTAATACCAGCATGAATAATGTGTAGATAAGGCTATGGCGCAGTGCATCTATATTTTTACATGCATTGTGAAATATTTCGTTTTTGTCAGGTTATTATCTTTGACTAAAGTTAGAAATTCTGCAGTAGTCAGCATGTGGACAAGATTGACAGAAATTTAGAACTTTATTCAGATAGCAGAATTGTGTTCCAAAGAATTAGAACAACGCGATCAGAAAATTTAAGAAATAAAAACTGTAAAAATGAATAAAATTTTTCGCAAAGGTTCTACAGTATCAGTTGATAAAGTTACTTATAAATCCTTAATATTTAGTAGCATTAAAACACGCAGTTTGTTGTAATCTCTAATCCAAAATTAAACAAGATTATTTGTGGAAAAAAAAACGCATCAATATAATTTGTTGCTTCGCTCATGTAATTAATTAATGATCTGTTGAGGTTGAGGTTTGGGATTTGAGATTTGGGATTAGGGTTTAGATTGAGCGGCTTTGTTTAGAATACATTGACCTAAAAAATACAATATCTAAGTTTAAGGTAAGGGCTTTATGATCAATTCCATATCATGCTTAGCAAATTTTTTATGAAATGTGACGCAATATCCTTTGAACGATGAAAAGTAGATATAAAAAAGTAGTTCTTTATATTCGAAATGGTGGTGATACATTTATTTAATGTTCAGCATATTCTTATTTTTTATAAAATTTAGTCATCATTTTTTTATTACAGTTTTTATAATTCTTAAAGAGAATAATATAATACCTTCAAATTTTCTACAGTAAAATGTTTGTATATTTTAATACTGATAAATCTACCAACAAATTATATTCTAAAAATATAGATATAGATGAAACTTATCTAAATAATATAGGTCATGCTACAACAAAACCAGACAATGTGAACTTTGGTATTACTAAGAATATCAGGGATCAAAAATTTAGTTATTATCATCATTATCATCACAATTGTATTATGATGTAATGTAATCATGATACTTGCTTTTTTTGCTTGGGAGATAAATTAATTAATATGAAATTAATTTACATTAGATCAACTATAAAACCCGAGAATTATAGTACCATCAGAAAAAATAAAATGAGAAAATTGCTCCTTACATTATCAAAATAAATGATACTCAGACACTTACAACTTATCTAAGAAAAGAAAGAATTACCTATGAAATTTACCAAGAAAGAAAAAATAAATGTTAGCAAAAAAAAGCAAAATAAATATATGATATAATCTAGCAGAAACATTTAAAAGAAAAATTAAAGTTATGCCTATTATTTATAATCAAATAGAATAATTATCAAATTTTTTTATTTTTTGAAATATTATTTTTATATTCATTGGTAGCTTTGGCAAAATCTTCATCTTTTAAGTCAGAAATAGGGATGCTAATAATTATGATTATGATCAATTATAATCATAACCGATATTGATCATTCAAAGGTTTCTGACCAATGACTGATTTTGACTGATTTTGACTGACTGGTTAATCAAACATTTTTTAATAATAATCCAAGAATTCTTTACATTTAATTAACAATCATTTTAATTATGTAGTTTTTTATGAAAAAAAAATTTTAATTTATTTTTTAAAAAAAGTTTGTAATATTGCTATAAATATGAAAGTAAACTTAATATGCATATCAAATTAGCCTAAAAGAAATAAGTAAATATATAAAAATCAGAGTTTTAGCAAATACCATATTAGTATTATTTAAAGCTTAAATTAAAATTATTGATCAAGAACTTTAAATTATATTATTATTATATAAGTTGATCAACTAGTTAATATAATCAGTCAGTCAGTTAAAGGTTTTTGACCAACTATTTACCAACTATTAACTGATTATAACTGACTGTAATTAACTATTAATTGATTATAACTGAATATTACTATTTTTAGTCAAAAATAGTAGTTTTAATATAATTATATTTGTAATCAAGAAGGATATAAATAATATAAATCTTATTTTTATCAGTAATATTATAGCTGCTTTTTTATAATTTTTAAATTTATCTTTATAATTATTATTCTCTTCTTCTAACCCCTTTATCTTATCTAATAATTATTACTTCTGTTTTTTACTTTACTCTTCTAAATTTTTATAAAATACTCATAAGCTTTACTCATTTATTTAGCAGTATTTAATTGTTATTGTAAAAATATCTCTTTTTTTTCTAAATTTTCTTTATATTTAACACAATCACAAATATACTTATTATTACAAATATCAATATTAGCTTATCATTAAGGTTGCTGGACGAAATCAAGAGTTTAGATAGACGTCTAAATGGTAAAAGTAAAACTTGGTTAAATTATATTAAAACCTTATTAAAAAATTTGCGAAATTTGGAAAAAGGTAAAACTATATAAAAATGGCAAAACTATATCAAACACTTAGTAAAAATTTAGCGAAACTAAAGGTTTTACCATTTTGCCAAATCCAAAATGAGTTTAGACAAGCAACCTTACTTATCATATTCAAATAATTTAATATTTTTTAACTTTTTTTCCTATTAAAACTATTACAGAAAGAACAAATCATTTCTTGATTTTCATTCTTCTTACTCTAAAATTATGTAAATTATTTTTATATAATAATAATTAATTTCTTAACTGAAACTTTAATTAAGTAACTAATTTTATTTATGATATGATAATTTGATAATTTTAATCTTAACTAATTGCTAAACTTTATTTTTTACTCTTTCTTTAAAAACTTTGAAGTTACTTAGACTTGATTAGATAACTGTTTATTATCTAAAAATGATTGAAATTCTTTCTTTTCTCTTTCAATTTTTTTAGACTTATTTTGAGAATTTGCTAATAATTCTTTTATTTACTTACTTTTTTTTGCAATTTTAATTTTTACTTAGATTCACTTTAGGTTATTACTAATAATTCCAAAAATTTGATACTAGCATTTTCCAATTCTACTTTCTGTCTTATTCTCTATTCTATTGCTTTATTATTGCTTTCTCAGTTTCTTCTTACTTTATTTTTATTTCATTTTTAATTCTTCTATTTTTATTCTCAATTCTTTTTATTTTTTTATTTTGCTTCTAATTTAATAAATTTTTCTTCTAAAATAACATTTTTTTTAATTTATCCTTTTTCTTATAAGCAAGTTAAAAAATACTTATAATCATTATTCATCAGCAAAACTTTTAACAATATTTTTTTAAAAGTGAATTTATCACTAAAAATAAATCTTTTTAATTTAATTTTACTTCTTTTTAAATAGTTTACTTAACCATTTTCTAATTATCTAAATCTTTATAAGATTCTTAAAATTAAACCCTTATATTCTGAATTTTAAATAATATCATAAATAATATTTTAAGTTCTTAACTTAAATTTTCTTCTTTTTGAATTAATTGGTTCTTTAATAATTCTATTTCATTTATTAATATTTTATTTATTTATTATTATTTATTTATAATATTTATTATATTTGTTTTTTATTTTTATTTATTCTTTTAATATACTTATATCCTTTTTATAAAGATATGTAAATATAAATTATTTTAGTATTTTATTACTTTAAAAGTAAAAAAAACTAAAAATATTTATTAAAAGATTAAACTTATCTAAACTTGATAATAGCAAGAATAAATTAACAAGTAATAAAATAATAAAAATGAATTTGTTTTAAATATTTTATTTATTGTTAGAATATATTAATCTTAATCAAATAATATCTTTGAATTTATTTCTAAAAAATAAGTAAATATTATTATAAAGTTTTTTATCCTAATGTAGTCTAAAAAATATGATATTAATACTAAAATATATAAAGCTTTAATTTCATTAAAAATATCAGCTTTCTTAATTTTTGATAAATTAAATTTAATAAAAGTTTTATTAACAACTTTTTGAATTTTTACTATATTAAAATTAAATGATTTAAAAAGAAAATGTTGATATTTCTGTATGCTTAATAATTTCTAAAAATAAATTTTCAAGATTTATTTTAATATCTAAGTTAGGATTCTAAATTCAATTTGATATTTGAATATTTGATTTGATCAAATTTAAATTAAAAAATAATTTATTTGATCAGACCTAAATTAATCTTTAATTTGATTTGATTTGAATCAATAGTAAAGACATATTTATGTTTCAAAAATAATATTTATTAAAAAAAAAAAACATAATAGAAAACTTCTCTGCATTTTAGAAATGATTTTTTACTATGTAAAATATATTAAAAAACACCTTCATAACTTCATAGATATTATTCTACTAAAAAAAATATAGTAAAAAATACTTCTATAACTTCAGAGATAGTATTTTACTAAGAAAAATATATTTTCAGCTTCATAGACATTATTTTACTAAGAAAAATATAGTAAAAATGCTTCTATAGTTTTAAAGATATTATTATATTATAATTGATTTCATAATTTATGGATTACTAATAAATTGTAATTAAATGTGAATGAATATATTTTATAATAAAATTATTATAAAATATTACAATTGAATGTAACTAAAAAATTATTAATGGTCTATGA